CAATGCCTCCCAGCGCATCAATGAGCTAGAGAGGAATGTGGAAGAACTTAAACGGAAGGCCAACCAGAACTCTGGGGAGGCAGAATATATTGAAAAAGCAGTATACACTGTAAAACAAAGTGTAGATGATGTCAAGAAGGTAAGTAAATCTTTGATTGCAACTTTGTGAAGCTGCAGTCTCCTTTAATAAGGGGACAAAGACCCAACATAGTTATGCATCAGAAACACTCCAAATGACCAATTTTGACATAGCAGTCTTAGAGATGCAGCTGGAAAAGAAAACGAATGTCCAATAAGTATAACGCAGGTCCTCCAACCCCAACTTATATGAGTTGAAAAGAATAAAATTAATCCATGAGAAGTTTTTGTTTTTTTGTTTTTTGAGACAGGGTCTCACTGGGACCAGGGATTTAGCTCAGCGGTTCGGTGGTCTGCCTTGCAAGCACAAGGACCCAAGTTCAATCCCCAGCACCAAAAAAAAGAGAGAGACAGGGTCTCACTATGCAGTTCAGACTGCTCTGGAACTCACGGGTGTAGCCCAGGCTGGTTTCGAACTCACAGTGATCCTCCTGCCTCAGCCTCCTGAGTGCTGGGATTACAGGCATGCGCTACCACGCTGGGCCTAATCCATGAGAAGTCTTAAAACAAGCACAATGAACTTGTATTTCTTTGTAGCATAATTACCTGGTCACTGGAGAGGACTTTAAAAGCAGAAGGGAAAAATCCTAGAGTTCATTATAGAGAACAGCTAGAAAGACATCAAATCTCTTTGCAGACCTATTTTGAATGAATCCCTTTTCATTATAAGGTACTATGTTTTGCAGAGAAAAATCTCACACAGGCTCAATTCTTAGCTAGAGCCAAGTAATGTTTGAAACACACGTTCAGTTTCTAAATCTCGGTGGGCAGACCTTCATTTCCAAAGACACCTTTTATACTTGGGGGAGGTGTTAAATGATTTAATGGCTCTCTACTATTGAAAAATTGTCCTAAAAGTTAATTTAGCTTTTAGGTTACTACATAAAAGTAATTTCCATACACCTCTGTGTTGGGAAAAGAACAAAATGAGAAAAGTTCATTGCCACAGTCAGGCAGCTTAGCTGTCTGTTCTGTTGTACTTTCCTGCAATTCTGAGAGCAAAAATTTCCCAAGTGGCATTTCGAAGATAATGACATTTACTACAATATAGAGGAATAAAATCCCTTGAAATGAAACTTCCATAATGACTATTGTTTGAACAGTGCTTCTAAAACAAATAATTTGTAACTATACCTTTCCCCATCACCCAGTCTTCACAAACCCTGAGTAGTAGTCAGGATCCAGGTGGTCCTCCATTTCTTCAAAGCAGTCTTTGATGTCCATCTGTTTAGTTTTTGTAGTTCTCCATACAGTTAAACTAAAGAGAAGAGGGCTTAGTCCTAACAACGTACTGCAATTCCCAAGTTTCTTTGAAATGGTTTTATAAAAATCATAACTTAATATAAAGTCTGAAGATACCTGACAGTTCTTAATCCAGAAGGCATGCCCTGCAAATTAGTATCTTCCTGAGCCAAGTTTGCCACGATTACACTACGATCAGGTCTTTTTGGCATTAACATTATTTCCTTTTTGTGTCTAAATGTGGAATTGCAGGCTCTGGATGGTGAACTTGATGAAAAATATAAGAAAGTAGAAAGTTTAATTGCCAAAAAAACTGAAGAGTCAGCTGATGCCAGGAGGAAAGCCGAAATGCTTCAAAATGAAGCAAAAACACTTTTGGCTCAAGCAAACAGCAAGCTGCAAATACTAAAAGGTGGGTCTTTTAATTTTAAAGCAAAGCACTCAAGTTTCTTTTTAAATGGTGATTCACTTTGTAAATACAGCCATGCAGGCAAAGATTAGGTTTTCAGGTCACAGTATAAATCACTCAAACTCTTTCTTTGGTTTTCCACAGATTTGGAAAGAAAATATGAGGACAATCAAAAATATTTAGAAGACAAAGCTCAAGAATTAGTGAGACTTGAAGGAGAGGTCCGTTCACTCCTCCATGATATAAGCCAGCAAGTTGCCATTTATAGCACCTGTTTGTAACAAAAGGGGAGAGGGCTAAGATGGCAGACGGGACCAAAGTAAAATAGCTACATTTCAAAAATTGACTATGATTTTCAAAGTAAAACTAATTACCTATTTAATGTTTTTAATCACCAAATTTTGTACCAAGTTAAATAAAGTACAATGCTTTTGTATAAATATATTTAGTATACTCATTTATTTAGTATTCATAAATCCTGTTAAATGTTTACACTATAGATAGAAAAGGTCTTCATGGAAGTAGTAAATCTTTTATTTTTTTTCCTCTGGTTCTGTGGATTGAATGCCGGACCTTGTGCTTTTTCAAGGCAGGCATGGCGCCACTGAGCTAAATCCCCAGCCCAAAACCTTATTATGTCTATAAACAAGCTATTATCTAACCGGTCAACAACTTCCCAAAAGTCTACTCTCCTTCCCTAGTCCCAGACTGAAGTGAAGAAGGATACAGCCTACCAGTGGTGCTGAACCTTCCAGATCTTTCAATGCCAGGTGCAGCATGTGTGCCATAGGTTCACCACGGTTGCTGGTTGCTCCAGGAATGTGAACAGAAAAGCAGTAATTTCTAGAAAATCAGGAAGGTGAATTGCGGCTTTTAAAGTATGCCACCAAGAATTAGGAAGGTTGAAATTAAATCAGACCAGTCTATGGCTACTGCTCCTGTCAACTGATCAATGCTGAAAGAACAGAATTTCTCAGCTTTCGTATTGTATTTTGCATAACAGCACAACAGAAGATTCTGCCACAATCTATAGGTGAGGCTAAAACAAAAAATATGTCAATCACACAGCTGAACTTAGTGGCTAATAGCCCAGCACAAGCCCTAAGTGCTTTTTCAGACACACTCAGACCAAGACTCTTCTGTGGACCACTTAACAGTCATGTAACTAGCTGGAATTTAGGCAACTTCCCTCTAGCCCAAGGCAATTATTTGTGATTTAAGCAAGAATCCTGGTAACTAGCAAAATGGTTCTATCATCATGGACTAAACTTTTTCTTAAATAGTAGAAATCATCTCTACTTCCCAAGTAGTTTCAGCTAGAACAAAAGATCTCACTTTGCAAATACTAATTTTAATCAACCCAATGAACTGGACAATTACCTTTAGCTCACTCTTCACAAGCCAAGATAGTAAGAGTTCAGCAGTTAGTAGGCAGAAATCTACAACTTATTTTACCCCAGGACTTTATTCTCCAGCCAAATGTATTCTCATATTGAATGAGAACCCCTGCCTCTAAAGCTAGGATTTTATACTGTTTCACTATTTTGAAGTAAGAAACTTCCCCTATAAATAGGGACTATATTTGAGGCCTAAATGAAATAGTATGAAACCTAAAATTGAGATTTCAGATTTTAAAAAGATGCAGAGTTCACTTCCAATAATGCGCAAGTAGCACACACCATACTGTTAGTTTCTATCTAGATGCCCCTCCCCTCAAGCCTCTGCAATCAGAGGTGGGGCTTTCGGAGGGCAGCTGGTTAGGAGGTGGGGTCACTAAGTTGTGACCTGGAAGCATTCATCTCCATTCCTGGTACCCTCCTTCCTACTCTCCATTTCCCACCACAGCACCTCGAGCCACTTTTCTTCTTCCATACTGTCCTGCCTTGGAGCCAACAGACTATAGACTGGAACCTCTACAAACTACAAGCCACGATAAACCTTTCCTCCAGTTGGTGTTGAGTACTGTGTCCCAGCAACAAGGAAATTAAGGCACATACCAATTTTCCTACTGATAGCTGTAAACTGAGCAAAATTTTATGAAAAAAAAATGTACAGGCACTGGAGAGCAACCACAGGTAGGGGTAAAAGGAAGCGGACACTCAAACAGCACTGGGGCAAATGTCTCATCTTTAACAAGTTTTCACTTGAGAGGATAAAAGCCAAATTTCACTGATTAAGGAACTGGAGGACAGAGTTTGGAGCAACCTCAAAAGCTACAATATGAAGGAGAAAATCTAAGGATGGAGCACAGAACAGAGCCCCCATCTGATTTCTGCAAATATTCTGCCCAATCTTGGGGAAGACTTCAGGCAGCACAAAGCTAAAAAAAAAAGGAGGAAAGAAATTTCAGTTGCTACACCCCACCCAACAAAGAGACTATAGAATTTGGAGTTCATCCAATTTAGCTGTTTAAAAGAATAGTGTCTACAATTTATCAGTCATGACTATGACATTAGTCCCTAAGACCACTGGACAAAGGAAAATGTGACACTCATATAAAATGCAATTAAAATCTGAAGACAAACTTTTTCCTTTCAATTATGATCAACTATGATCAATTATGATCAACTCATTCCATACAGATTACATTCACCAAATTTAAGACTAAAATTCACTTAAATTGCAATCACATGAATATGTACATATTTGTAGGGCTTTAATACCTTCATTTTAAAAAGTGTATCTGTACCAAATTTGGGAACTATTTAATGAATCTGAAATGATTCTTGAGTCATAATACGCAAAGGCCTACTCAGTATTTAGTCCTTGACCTTTGAGATATTTAACCATTAAGTATCAATAAATGCAATTTTATAACTCTTAAGAAATGAACACTGACCCAGCAAATGAAATCCACATAGGAAAAGACAGATTAAAGATTCCCTTATGTTGTACTTATCCAAAAGTATATTCTAAATGAAACAGCAATGATCTTTTAAATCCCTTAACATTGTTATACAATGTGAAAAAAGAGATACATTTAGGCCTATATAAAAGAATAGCCAGGTGTGGTGGCCCAGGCCTATAATCCCAGCACTCAGGAGGCTGAGACAGGAGGACTGCTCTAAATTCGAGGCCAGCCTGGGCGACACAGTGAGTTCAAAGCCAGGCTGAACTATATGTATAGTGAGACCCTTTCTTAACCTCTGCCCCAATACACACTGGAAATAGTTATAAAAATTAGGATCATCTCTCACATGCATTCAGAATAACCAGTAAATGAATAAGATGTTTATTTTGGTATTTGTATTCCTCACTATAATACATTTGAGTCTCTATTTAATATTGGAGTTTTGTAGACAGACTTAATTTCTATAACTATTTAACTACCCTTCCGACTTGAAGACCTCAAAAGAACCTCAAAAACCCTTACACACATAAATTCTACCTCTAAACTATAAGAACTTAGGAATTAAATAAAACAAGGGAGAAATGGTCACTTTATTTACATGAGTTTGGTTTATAGATATTTAGATCTTGTGCTAGTAACAGACTTGTTTCCAATATGAAAACCAAATTTAAAATAACTTGATCACCTTCCTTCACACATCATACCCCAACTCCGCCAATGACACAGAATTAGAGATAAGTGCCACTTGGCGTTAATTCAGTGGAGCTGAACCTTTCATAAATAGCATGAAGATATGGACTGATGAAAATCAATCAGGATGCTACTATATGTAGCTTTTATCCTGCAACGTTAATGTACTGAAACAGTATTTAAAATATAGAAACAAGATTATTGCATTCTGTCCAAACCTATTAAATACCTTCCAAAAGTTTCATAATTCAGTCCTAGAAATTCTTGGAACTGTGAGCACATCTTGTTCACAAATGTGACCTCTACAAAAGCTTCCAGGAGATTTCAGAAGAAAATAGATCTTCTAATTTAAAAGTTGATCGCTTTGCCAAATGATGCAGCCAGGTTTGCTTCTCTAAAAGCTTCTGATAAGGTCTGCAAGAGAAGATGTGTAAAATTTAAAACCAAATTATTTGTGTGTCAGAAGAAAAATTGATGGCTGTCAATCTGTATGTTGCTAATTACCGGATGTGCATGGCAGACTCTAGCTATATCTTCACAGGACGCTCCATATTCCAAAGCAAGAGCTGCTTCATTCACCATTTCTCCAGCACCCTTTAAAATAACCCAAGAAGTAATTTTGCTTTCATGCCAAAACCAACTATGTACTAGGAAGATAGCAACAATTAAGAGACCAGGGCTTTCGACCTTAAAATTGTCTTAAGTCTTTGCTGTGGCAGTTAAGGGGGGGGGGAATCACACTAAAAAAAGCTTAACAGAGAAAGAGCTTTGGCTCTGAAGCCAGACAGCCTAGATTCAAATCCTGCTACTTTGCTACCTCAACCACTCACTGACCGCGCTTCATTCTATTCCTTCCCTTCAAAATTAACAGCACCTACCTCAGAGAGTTGCTGTAAAAATGAAAAAGGTTAATGTAAACACCTAGGGAAAGTGACAGAGAAAGCACCCAAATACTTTGTTACCTTTAGGGAACAATACACCCTACTTCTAGGGAAGAATACACTTCAGTCTCAGAAGAGTCTAAGGTCCCCTTAACAGTTAACGTCTGAGCTGAGATCTGAATGAGAACAGCTACCCAAAGATCTTGAGGCAGAACAAGAGAGAGCATACTACAAGCACAAAGGCCCTAAATGCCAATAAACTTGGCCTGTTATGAAAATGCAAGAAGCCAATGTGTTAAGAAATCAAGAACCAAAGGAGAACAGAAAGAGATGAGGTCAGAGGAAGGCAGGGCAAATGTTAACATCAGGATGTAAATACCAGTTGGCTTAAAATTAACCTATTAAAGGGCTGGAGATTTAGCTCAGTGGAAGTGCTCCTGCCTCGCAAGCACAAGGTCCTGAGTTTGATCCCCTGTACCAAAAAAAAAAAAAAAAAAAAAAAAAAACTATTAAATAGAAATGCTTTCCAAGGCTGGATGTGGTGGTGCACACACACCACAATCTCAGCACTTGGGAGGCTAAGGAAAGACAATTGCCACAGGTTCAAGGCCAGCCTAGGCTACATAGCGAGTTCAAGACCAGACTAAACTGCACAGTGAGATCCTGTCTCAAACAAATGAACGAACAAAAAATTTAAAAAATAGTAAACAACAACGGTTTCTAGAAATCTTAAAGGGATTTCTCTAGCTGTACAATACTCACTGGTCCCAGAATATGTGCTCCCAGCACTCTATCTGTTGCTTTCTGCCCAATAATCTTCACCATGCCATCTGTGTCAGCATTGGTCTTGGCTCTGCTGTTAGCAGCAAACGGGAATTTCCCAACTTTGTACTCAATACCCTGTGAGAGAAATGAAAACCTACATAAGCATTAAAAAGGTTCATTCCTACTAGCAAAAATCTCAAAGCTTTGGGTCCAGGAATTTAGCTCAGCGGTTCAGTGGCCTTGCAAGCGCAAGGACCCGAGTTCAATCCCCGGTACCAAAAAAAGAAAAGGAAAAAAAAATCTCAAAGCTTTTTTGTTCAGAACAAAGACCAAAAAGCAGGTTAAAGAAATGTATTTTGGGCAAAAATACACAAAATGTTTGTCCATCTGGTTATATTCAGAGACAAATATAAAAGATATGGAGTTAGTTTTGCTACACTTGATCTTAGCCAAAAGGATGAGAAATGATTGGAGTTCGTAGTTTTGAATACAGGCAGTGTATTCCCACACCCCTCCATTCCTGCCAGTAAAACTTAGGAGTGAATGATCTCTTCATGATCCCAAGGAAAAAAATTATATAAACTACCACTGTTTTACACAGCTATAAAAAAACCTTCAATGAAGCAATAAGATGCTTTTTCTCTGTTGCCAGTGTTATAGCTCAACTCACAGTGGAGTCAAAGTGCCACATTCAAAGTTACCTCTTCCTTCAATTGCTCTTCTGATTTGCCAACCCAGGCAACTTCAGGGTGCGTATAAATCACTGACGGCACACAGTTGTAGTCAATGTGCACGGCACCACCAGCCATGCCTTCCACACAGATGATGCCTTCGTCCTCTGCTTTGTGAGCCAGCATCGGACCAGCGACCACATCACCAATGGCATAGATGCTGCCAGAAAGCAAAAGAAACAGTGAGCTTCGGGAAGCAAAATGCATTTACTTACACTGTAGCAAAAATACACTTCTATTCAGTAAGTCACCCAAAAGCTAGCCAATGCAACTCTTCAAAAGTCTATGCATTTAGGCTCTCATCTTTAAGCAATGAAAAAATTTAGTTATTCTTGAGTTTACATCTTGTAAGTATGCTATTCTTTCTTAAAGCTCATATATATATATATTACACACACACACACGTGTGTGTGTGTGTGTGTGTGTGTGTGTGTGTG